TTGCTTGATTTTAACTGTGTTATGAACAGAAATGTATTATAAGCAGCCTACAATAGATTCCTTGGCAAGCAAACTCACTAACAAGCTAACCTCTCTAAAGGTGAGTGAGTTGGTTTCTTGCTAAATAACCGAAGTCGCCCTAAGAGGGTGAAGACAAGCCGCCTTGTTAAACCAGAGTAACATTTGCACACAACAAATAAAGGTTTAATAACATGATGATTCCTTTTTATCCTGTTTCCTGTTTGTCAGTGAAGACAAGTTAGATGTAAAAGTTGACTAAAACAAGTCATCAAAAAAAGTCCCAAAAACTGCAGTTCCTAAAGTGGCCACTTGAGGCTGGCTCCAAAAGTGAGTCAATCCCCTTTGAGCTCCATGTTACATTTTTCGACTTTACAGTAGAAATTATTTTGTTTACAGCGCGGTGCAAAAACTGTTTTGGTCTCTATAGCTCATTTATTTAAAGAGCTCAACAGAGTGCGTCAGGAATAACAATCCCGTTCATTTTCTGGATAGCGGATTTGATTATACGCCATGATGTCATAACCATCCAAGGTAGACAGAAGACGAGCGACCTGGGTGTTGTTTATGCTCCTGTAGGAGACACAAGTTGGTCTGACATCAACCTCATTTTAAGAAAAACAAGATTTATTTGCAATCTTGGGGAAAAGAACTACACTACCCAAAATCCTTAAGTGTCATAGGGACGTCTCTGAAGGTGGAGCTTGCTGTTACCATGGCGATGTTTACCGCCCCGTAAACCTCTGATGTCCACTGTTACCGCTGAAGTTCAACACACTATACACAAACTACAACATTATTATTAACAATATTAGAACTACAATAAAGATGGATAAAGAAAGTATACGTTTGGACAGGAAGTACCCACAGGTGCTGACAGGAAGTGGCCAGAGGTGCTGACAACATTGACAGCTGTTCTTGAGAGTTCTAACCAGCATCAAAAGCATCCTAAATATCATCATCATCATTAATAATATGGAGACCATCATCATTAAGTTAGTAGGTATTCATAAAAAGCTGGGTCTTTAGCTTTTTCTTAAAGGTGCAGAGGAGTTTGGAAGTTCATTCCACCACCGGGGGGCGACAGAGGAGAAGAGTCTAGTCAGAGACTTAGGACCCTGTTGTGAAGGTTGGATCAGACGCCTTTCATTGGCAGAGCGTAGTGGGGGGGGGGGGGGGGAGTGTAAACCTGGATGAGAGAGTTAAAGTAAGGAGGAGACGCTTTTTTATGAGTTTTAAATTTCATGCAAGTCTGTAGCCTAGTGGTGATTGCGCCAACCTGTAGTCCTCCAAGCAAGCGACCCGGGTTCAAATCCGACCCCGATTTCTGACTCCATCCACTGCCCTGCCTCTAAGATGACAAAAATAAAACCGTACTAGCTGATCTCCGGTGCAGCAGAGGTAACTAACTACCACAAACCAGAGCTGCTGTACTAACAAAAACCTGCACACACACCTGTTGTTTAAATATGAAATGTATCTCCATTCAATGGTGCTAGAACCGATGTCTGCCTGCACGTTTTAGTCTTTAAAGTTATTTCTAAACCATGAAAACTCAAAAAAAGAAACAAGAAAAAAGAAAAGCTCCCCCATGTTCGAGGCTCCTCATCATCTCTCTCTCTGATTATCATTTGCTTTATTTCTTCCTCCCTCTGCTGTTTCCTGTTCCTGTTTGCTGCTATAATGATCAATAAAGTTTAATTTCATCTGACTCATCTCGTTTTTACTTGCGTGCAGGAAGGAGAGCAGGAAGATCAAGTTACACGTGTGGGTGCTAAAGAAATCTTAACCTGTGCACTTCTGCAGAGCTGTTACTCCGTGTGTAGTAACAGGACCACCCACAAGAACTCTACAACGATTTAATACAACAGATTTAAAGAAAATGGTTTGAATTGTCTGATTTAGACCCAAAAAGGGAGAAATAATTAGAATTTAAGAGACGCTTCAGAGAGAAATCAGTGGTGAAGGTCACGCACCACACTCACCAAATGAGTGGGAGGATAAGTGTCAATCGCCATGGGTCTTGTCCCCTCCTCAACAGTTGCCACGGTTACCTGGCATGTTGTAGGTCTCCATGGCGGCGAGTAGGAGGGCCGACCATTGGTCCGAAGCGTCGAGGGGGCCTCGGCGAATCACAAGGCGGCTCGAACTGAAAGGGAAGTGGGAATAAAAACATGCCACTAAAGGTCATTATTAGATTTTGGTAAATGGTATTACAGGAAAAAGGATTGAAGAGGAGGAGGGGGGAATGAGGGAGTTTGAGAGAGAAGGGAGGAGTGAGGGACGACGAGGTGATCACTCCCGCTCTGTTGTTGGTCAAAAAGGTTAAAAAAAAAAGTCAAGGCCTCCGTGTGGGGATCAGCCATATCGTAACATTTGATGATTTTCATTAGAAACAGTTTCAGTTCAAGGGGAAGTTTTTATTATTTTTTTATTTAATATTCTAATATTAAATTTTTTATTTGTTAGTTAAAGACGATGATTAAAAACAAAAATTCATGCCTAAAAGACCTCTTTGCCTTTTGGAAATTATAGTTATTTGCTTTATTTGTGAGTGTGAAAAGTAAATCCCTTTAGGTTTAATAGGGGAAATTAAGCTAGCTTAGCCTAGTTAGCCTAGCTTAGCATTAAGACTGGAATCAGAGGAGTCATTTGTCAGCTGTCAATCCATTCTGGTTAGCGGAAAGGGCAGGACATGAATTCTGCTGCAAATGACGTCATCAGAAACTGGCAGAGGTATTTTGGCTTCACTTCTGTAAAAAAAAAAAAAAAAAGGGGGAGGATTTGTGTCCATATTTATATACAGTCAAAGGGCTCAACAGTTAGGCTACAGATCATGTGGCGCCTCCTACAGGTGAAGCTATTGCATGTTCATCGGGCCAGTCCAGATCAGTAAACACACACATGCTAACAGTGTTAGCCAACATCCGATCTGTGTGTGTGTGTGCCTCTGTCTTAGCACTCTGCAGGACTGAAAATCAATACTGCTGCGAGGGACAGGAAGAGACGGAGAGACCACAGAGAGCCGGAGGAGGGAGGGATGAGAGGAGGAGGAGTGCAGCTGAGCCTGATGGATGCAGAAAAGGAAAGAAGGACCAAAGGAAGAGTTAAAACTAGTTAGCCTGTTTATAACATGTTGAAGTCATGGATGGTGTTTTAAGTGTTTTAAACCAACAGCAGAACTTCAGAGTGTGGGTTTACCTGCGAAAACTAAAAACACAAATAAACAAAAGACCAGTCAGAAAATGGCAGTGAGTGTTGGTTCTGGTTTCCTTTAGCCTACATGTTGTGTAATTATTTGTCTATAAATTTAATCCAACTTGTTGAGCCACATTTAACCTGAACTGAAGCATGAATTAAAGGAGCAATAAGAAACTCTGACATCTAGTGTTTAAAATGGGCACTGCAGCAGTCCAAAATCAAACATTGGAGAGAGCTGATGTGTAGTGCAGGTATTCTAAATCCCCAGATTCACAATATTCAGTAATATGCTGCATTTGTTCCCCTTATGATGGCGAAGGGATAACCCGCCCTACTCTGTCTCTTATTGGCTGGATATGCTTTATTAATTAATATTAATTAATATTATCCTAAAAATAATAAGAAAATAAAACCAAACACGGTCAGTTTTCATCAGATATCGTGGGGTACAAATATGGAATTATTCTTCTTTGCCAACAGAGATTTTTAAAAGGGAACTGTCTTCACATTTAATCCATGAGGTCAAACTTTTGCATATATAAAATATATTTATTTTCTTTCTTCTTTTTTTCCCATCAACTCACTGATTTCACTCCCTTTTTAATAGATGAATGCCTGTTTCATTGAGCTGATAGAGGGTTAACATTCTCAGTCTTTCTATTGTATTATATTGTATTATTATATACTGTGCAATATTTATTTTATATTTCTGCAATATTTTACATTTCATACTTTGCAATATTTATTTTATTTTATATTTCTGCAATATTTTACATTTCATACTGTGCAATATTTATTTTATATTTCTGCAATATTTGATATTTCATACAGTGCAATATTTATTTTATATTTCTGCAATATTTTACATTTCATACAGTGCAATATTTATTTAATATTTCTGCAATATTTAATATTTCATACTGTGCAATATTTATTTTATATTTCTGCAATATTTTACATTTCATACTGTGCAATATTTATTTTATATTTCTGCAATATTTAATATTTCATACTGTGCAATATTTATTTTATATTTCTGCAATATTTGATATTTCATACTGTGCAATATTTATTTAATATTTCTGCAATATCTATTTATATTCTGTTATGCTACTACCTGTAAATAACTCCTACCATACATTGCCCATCTTACCTGAATGAGAGTTCCTTTTTTATTTATTTTGTTGTTTTTAGCTGTGGATGCTTGTATGTGTGTGCACTTTAAGGTGAAGCCAAATAATTTCGTTGTACAATTGTATAATGACAATAAAGACAATCTATTCTATTCTATTCTATTGTATGTATGTGTCTAAGTGTGAGTGTGAATACGTGTAGGTTACTGTATATGTGTTTATATTTTATATTTATTTGTCTCTTAAGAGGTGAGGCCTGTTGGCTTCTTGACCTCTCCTGACACACCTTTTATGTTTTTGTTAATCCTTTTTGATGTATTCTTTTATGTGCTAATAAAAAAAATATATATATATATATATAAAATAAAAAAATAATAAAATAAAATAAAATAAAATAAAATAAAATAAAATAAAATAAAATAAAATAAAAATAAAAACATATCACTCCAGGACTACGCTGATTATCCTCTCACTTTAAATAAACATTTTAGGGGGAAATTAAAAGTTTACCGTCTTATTCAGGCACCACTTCACTACTGAGTATCCTGACTCACACTCCAGCACAGCAGATGGCGGTGTTGCACCTTAAAAGCAAACTGCAGCCAGCAGCCATTAAACAAGAAGAAGAAGAAGAAGAAGGGGGCGTGTACATGTTAGCCTGTGTGCTAACTGGTAGCTAAAGTTGTACTTTCACTTTCTGACAGTCAACAAGGCTTCCTGGAAAACGAAACTAGAAGCCGCCATTGTTGTGTTGGACTGTCGTTTGATCATCGGCGTCAACATTTCAGACGTTTCTGCGTCGATATTGAAAACTTGGAGGAGGAGGAGAGTGACACATTCAACCGGCAAACACGCAGTTTACCTGCTAGCTCCAGCCGCTAGCTCCAGCCGCTAGCTCCAGCCGCTAGCTCCAGCCGCTAGCTCCAGCGGCTAGCTCCAGCGGCTAGCTCCCGTCGCTAGCATGGACGGCGTGACGACCAACGAGGAGAGGGGGGCCGAGAAACAAATGGACGACTACCTGAAATCAATCGGCTTTCACCGGAAGAAGATCGCCAAAGACGGCTCGTGCTTGTTCCGAGCTGTCGCCGAGCAGGTGAAGTTAAAACACACCTGTTCAAACTGTGAGCTAACAGAGCTAAACAGCTGAGCTAGGTGTGTTTCATGAGAGCCGAATTAAAGTTAACTCCACTAACAAGTTCTCAAAAAGTAGTTTCAAACTTTATTCCTCATTTTTATAAACTTTAAACTGTGAAACTGTTAAATTATAAACTTTTCAGAGCGGATTCTGCGTCTTAAAGAGAAAACATGGAGTTTAAGTTTCATCAACACGTCACACAGATGTTATGTTTTAATTGCTTCATGTTGTTGATGTTGTTGTTGTTGTTGTTGTTGTTGTTGTTTAGGTGCTGCACTGTCAAAGCCTTCACGCTAAAGTCAGAGCCAAATGTGTTGAGTTCCTGAAGCAGAACAGATCGAGCTATGAGGCTGTAAGTACAAAACAAACAGGCCACACCTCTAAACGTCTGAGTGACGTCATAAAGTCTAACAGTCATGAACAATGCAGCAGCCAGTATGTCCTCCTTCTAACTTTACATTCTGCTCCTGAATGCTCTGGATTTGTTTGGACCAGAGAAGGTAGGCACTTTTAAGACACGCCCCCCCACACGACCGTTTTGGACGCCCCTCGGTTTGTCAGATATGAGAGCAGTTATCAGGTCAACAGGTGTTGCAGTGATGGAAGCGGTCAAGAGAAGTGGTTCAGGTAGAAGTGATTGTACCCGAGCCGTGTGTCACTCAGGAGCTTTTTTTTGTTGGTTTCCTTTCTGAGGTTGAACAACAAGAACTGAAAGTGAAAGTGTTATATAAATAATCAAGCCGCTCCTCGCTTTCCAGCTGGGCCGTCCTCCTACATATCCCAGAATGCAGTTAGGTGTAAATGTGACTCTCATGGAACCTGTTTATTTTCATCTCAAATTCTACAATTCACTTAGCAGACTCTTTTCTCCAAAGCGACGTACATCAGAGAGTAAGAACAACACAAGCAAGGATCTAGAAAAAAGGGAACAATGTCAGTAAGAGCAAACGATCAGCTTTGAGTCTGATTGGACACACAGGTGCTGACAGGAAGTGACCAGAGGCAAAGCACAACATTGAGGGCAGTTCTTGAGAGCTCTAATCAGTATAGAAACCATCTTATAAGTCGTCGTTATCAAACAAAAACCATCGTCATTACCATCATCATCATCAATAATATGGAGACCATCATCATTAAGTTAGTAGGTATTCATGAAAGAGCTGGGTCTTTAGCTTTTTCTTAAAGGTGCAGAGGGAGTCTGCAGATCACATGGAGTTTGTTAGTTCATTCCACCACCGGGGGGCAACAGAGGAGAAGAGTCTAGTCAGTGTTGTGTGTCTCTAAACGTTTGTCGGCGTCACACACCGACTGTTTCAGGACTTCAAAGACAACCTGTCAGACTCTTTAACGTGTGCTGTCTGTGTGTTTTGTGTTTCAGTTTATTGAAGGCGACTTCGTGGATTACCTGTGCAAGCTTCAGGACCCGCAGGTATCCCTCAGGGTCTTAAAGACGGTCTGATGTCTGATCTGTGTGATGATGTGTGATGTTCATGTTCCTCTCTGTCTGTGTTTCAGCAGTGGGTTGGCGAGGTGGAGATCCACGCTCTCGCCATCATGTACCAGTAAGTTAGAAATGTCCACACCTCAAAGAATGTGAAGTGGATCTGAAATTTGAACTGCTTGTTGTTTAAAGTGTGTGTGTGTGTGTTTCTGTGTGTGTGTGTGTGTGTGTGTGTTTCTGTGTGTGTGTGTGTGGTTCTGTGTGTTTCTGTGTCTGTCTGTGTGTGTGTGTGTAGGAGGGATTTTCAGATCTTCCAGGATCCCGGTAAACCAGCCGTCAACATCACAGACCACAACTTCAAAGACAAGGTGACCCTGAACGCACCACGCAGAGTTTCTACATTCTTCTTCTTGGTCTTTTTATTTGAACCTTGATGTCGTCGTCGTCGACTCGCTCTCACGACGTTTGTTTTTGTGTCTCAGGTGCGGTTGTGTTTCCTGAACGGGAATCACTACGACAGCGTTTATCCCGTCAGCCACGTCAAGAACGCCGCTCTCTGCCAGTGTGAGTGA